GCTCTCTCTCTCTCTCTCTCTCTCTCTCTCTCTCTCTCTCTCTCTCTCTCTCATGTCATGTTCCTCATAACTGAGAGTGATCCTAAACATGGTTAAACAGTATGATATTAGATCGTTTATATAAGAATCATACAAAAGTACTCAGTTTTAATACAAAAGTACTCAGTACTTTTAACGTTGGAACGTTGTAACATTTAATAGAAGGTACGAACCGAAGATTACATCGCAAGTCATGGAAATGGTTGAGGACTATGTTAGCGGAAGTAATATGCAACGTCGTGACGCTCAGGACGTCATAGATGAATTTAATTGTGAACTATCAAACATGCGAGGAAAATGTTTAGATATCGGTTCGGGTCCAGGGAACATTACCAAGGAACTGTTACTTCCGATCTTGCCACATGATGCGGAGGTAGTAGGTAAGTAAATGAAAATTTGACGGTATGCGTGTTTCTTTTAATAAAGAATCATTTCGTAGGCGCAGATATATCCGAAGCGATGGTGAATTACGCCAGTCAAAAATATAATGATGAAAAACGATTGTCCTTCGTTATTCTGGACATCGAAACATCGGAATTGCCAAGTGACCAAGTCGAGCAATATGATAATGCCGTGTCTTTCTATTGTCTGCATTGGTGTAACGATATATGGTATTTTACTTTCTTGGGTAACATTTAAAAAAAAAAGCTTTTGTAAATAAAACAATTTCTATAATTAATTTTGTATTATTAGAAGAAAATTATGCGAAAAAAATTTATATATGTTATATTAACGAATGCTAATCAACATTAAAAAAATATCTTAATTTTTTAAATTAAGTTGCTAAATTTTCAGGCGCGCTTTACAGAATATTTACAAGTTACTGCGACCAAATGGAAAAGCGCTTGTAATGTTCCTTGGATATCATTCTGGATTCGAGGCATATCTACAACTCAAGCAGTATCCACGATATCAATCTTATCTTCAGGCATTAATAATAAAAATAAATAAAACACGTTTAACGATAATGTTAACATTAAATTCAAATGCTTGTATCCTCTTCTTTAAGGATGCATGCCGTTACGTGCCGTACTTCCAACGAAGAATGTGTAAAGATGTCAGAGCGAGTCTGCGAAAAATGCTTGAGGATGTCGGCTTTGAAATTCTGCACTGTAGCAAAAGGGAAAAAAGTTATCACTACAGCAAACAAAGCCTCAAAAGTAAGATACTGAATAACAAGATAAATTATTATCTGTACACGTATAAGAATAAATTAAAGCATTGTAACAAAAATTAATCGTCGCAACTAAATAAGAATTTTTGTCTCTTTGTTTATATAAAATAAAATCATATTTGTATTTTTGCAGACCACGTGTGCGCTGTTAATCCTTTTATGAAGCGGCTCCCCGATGATATGAAAAGCGAATTTATAGACAATTTGCTAAATGAAATCATGAACCAAAATGTTCTGATTCCGCTTAAAAGCAAAAGCAAAAGCAGCCAAGAATACTTAATATTGCGATATTATCTACTAATAGCATACGTACAAAAACCGGCATCAGCTATTTGAAAATTTTTTAATTATTTACAAAATGTGTATATTTTTAGATTATTTTATTATTTTTAGATAATAAGTGATGCAAGATTAAAAACAATTAAATTTCAATCATTCAAATAAAATTCAATCATTATGTAAAATAATGTATTATTACTATAATTATGTACTATAATTAGATTTATATTTTATAGTTTTTTATAATTTCTAAGAATGTAATGTTTTTACGATTATTACATATATCGAAGTTTTAAAATTGACTCTAATTTGCCCTTCTATTTTCCTGATATTTTTGTTAGTCTTTAAGAGTCCTTTAACTTAATTGCATTTATTATTATCTGATCTTGACAAAATAATGATAATTAATTACATTTTATAAATCAAATAAAGAATACTAATTAATTTAGTAAAACCTGTTATTTAGTAAAATTTGTTACTCGATATAGTTATATTACATCGATATAAACTTTAAACAGAAATTTACGTTTTTATGAAACATGTAAAAGTGACGAAAGGAAAAAAAGAACAAATACATATCACTTTCAGCAGCTTGTGCCTCCTACACACTAAATTTTATGTATATATTGTACGCTATATCTTTGATTTTACAATAGTACAGCCATTTATAGAATATCGTTATTATAACTTATGGATCATATCGTACGGATACAAGAATGGGCGTTTCGGTATCGATATTCGTATAGCGGGTAATAATATTTCTAACTTTGTTCTCTAAAAAATACACATCCAGGCTTACAAATAGTAAAACCGCTGACATCGATCGTGTTTGTTGACATCCAATGCGTGCCTCTCAGAAAATACGACTAGCAAACCCGAAAGGTCATACGAGCAAGCTCATATTAATTTCTCGTAACATATAGCGATAATTAATCGCACAATTATTTCAATTCGTACAATTACAAAGGTTCTCTTAAACAGTTGTTCTAAAGAGTCGTATTTCGCAAATAGTCGTATTTCGAGCGGCAGCGCATTTCAGGATGGAAGCGATCCAAACCATTGTGTGCCACGAAATATCCTCTGTTCGAAATTTCTCCGCATTCATTTGCAAGCTATTTTTCAGTTATTTGCGTTGCAACTGACCTCCCCTTGACTCTCGCATTCATAAATCGCTGTGCAAGCAAGTTCGGAGACATAATCTCACTGTGAAATCAACACGGCGCAGATAGAGGATTTCTCGGCTGAAAGCATGAATTTTTGTTGTACCTCGATATTCAAATTGAGTATTAACAACGCCGTAGTTAATCGCAACAGAAGATGTATTTTAAACACCCGCCGCACGTATATTCCGTCTTATGCTCCTGTGAACGTAATCGATAATGCGCGAAGACTTTTTTTTATCTCTCAGTATATTCTAGTTATCGAGACCTTCCGCAAATACCCGCCTATTTCCTACATTACGAACGAGGACATCACCTGTCACAGCAGTAACATTCCACGATCCGCTGTGATTCCTGATTAGCATATAATACGTAACAAACGTGCTCTCGAGTTCGAGCAGTATACTTTATACATATAATAATTGCGAGAGTCGTAAAGTATCGGATCTCTCTTATGAGTATCAATCTGCTCTCAAATCTCATCGCTTTAGCCTTCCATGGCATTTCACATTATTTAACTTTACGAAAGATAATATCATAACTCCAAAGAGCAGACTTTATGAATACGCGTTAAATACATATTTTATTTCGATTTACAAAGCAAAAGCTGTAACTGGAAAATTATATAAATTTCAAATATTTTATATATATTAATTAATCGTCTAAAATGCCTGAAACGTGCATTTCGAGAGCGAGATTTTCGAGCGTCTGTAATCCGAATGCCTTGTAATTAGTTTAAGTATTAGTTATTAGCTGTCTTAAGATGTCTTAAGATGCCTTAAAATGTCTAAATCGTTTGGGACGATATTACTGAAACATACTTTTATCGATTATGAGCTAAATGGTAAAACGGAGTGAATAAGTAACGCTTTTTTAATATATCAATCGCTTAATTGGTAATTTCTTATTTCGTAGAAAGGACATCGAACATCAAATACGATTATTTATAGAAAAGAGGGATTATACCTGGGATGAGAACAGCGAAGGATGATCGAGGGCAAGGCACAAGTGAGTCAGAGAGAGGAGAAATTATTTTGTATGACCCTTTACGCATTCTAGCATCGCGAGGTTTATCGATTAAAATCGATATATCGCGAGATATACACACACGCATACATATGATGTATATTATATTATATAATCAGACACTGACATAATAAGTAATCGACAACTATCGCTAACAGCGGGACAAATATCTTATTTCTATTGACACTTCCACACTTTCTTATGTTTACTTCTCAGCGTGAAGCGATTAATAATTCATTTTTTTTAGACCATTCCCGAAAATATAACCCGAAAATATCGGATTAAAGATGAACAGAGATGCCCGTTGAAAAGAATATTTGGAAAACGCATGACGTAAAAGTACATTGTAAAAAAATATCGCAGGATCTATTTTACAGAAATAGACACATTGAATGAGAATTGAAATAAGTTTCAAACTTTATGAATGAGAAAAGTCACAAATTCATGAACGTTAAAGAAAAAGATCCATGATCTTGAAAAATATCAGCTTTTTTTATAAAGCAAAATATTTAGATAAAATCAAGAGTTGCGAAGAATTAATAATTCATTCATAAATTAGGAGTAATAATTTTTAAAGATATCGTATAGATCTACAGAAAGAGAAATCACAAAAAGATCCAGCAGGGAAAAATCTATAAAAATCTTTTTTTTAAAGAATTTGTAAAATCTGTAGAACGATGACATCTACAATTCCTTAATCTGCGAACAAAATCTGCAAGTATCTATAGAAATAACATCTCCGTTCAAGATCTGATTCCTTCACGGAGCTTCATCACATCGATGCTTCATTAATCACCGCGTAAAAAATCGCTACATGGCAAGAAAGCATAGCCGAAATTACGTATAGCTTTAATTCTCAGTAGCGTTTCCTTTCGATTCTTTCGTCGCGCATATCCGAATACATGTCGAAATACGCGCCATGTCGCTCGAGAACCACGCTTACTATAAATTCTCATTTACCGCATGATAGCGGTAGAGAGAACGCGAATAGAATACATTAATTACGCATTTAAGACCGTTGCTGCTTAGGTACTTTCATAGTGGGATGTCGTCGTTGGATTTAGCATGGATGAAATGCACGTAATCAAAATGCGACACGCGCGATGAAAATTTCAGAATTTTAAATTTAATTATCATAAACGAAATAAATGGACAGGAAGCATGAGAAATTAAAAACACAAGTAATTCAGTAGTTGCTAGAAATCGATCATCATTATGCATATCAAATGCTGCCTAATTATGTTTAACACTAAAACTGCGGATCTAAATTAAGCCAATCATGATTCAAGGTAAATTTGGCATTTTGTACGAGGGAGGGTTGTTATCATAAAAGTAAAATTAATTACTAATTAAGTATGATTATTTATGAAAAGTCACAAAAATCTAAAGCTCTACGTACAAATTTAAATGAACTGTACAAGAAAAATTATTAAATAGATTAAAAATTGTACGGCCGCGGTTCTAATATTATCGCAACATATTCGTTCCGATTTATTTCTCGTAAGCACTACACAATAATCTCACATCCAATTAAATCCGTTTAAAAACCTGCATCGATACTATTATAAATGCACGATGCTCCGATCAATATCTATTCAACTTAAATTAATCAAGTTAAATTAATCATAAATAGAAAAAGAGGAGCGGGAAAAATACAGGAGATAAAATGCGAAATCAAAACAAATTTGTAAACACAACAAATCGTTATAATCTCTCGTTTACAAAAACGGAAGAATACGGACCGACGAGTTGAACTAATCGTCGATTAGAGAGAAAGAACGAGAGGTTACATAACCGGAAATACATAAAAATCACGAAACATATTACGATAATAAAACGGTAACGATAATGGATCGACTTGGACGAGACGATCGAACACGAGCATGTGGTCAGCGCCGAACGGCCAACGCTAATTGTAAGTATAACGAGATTCGGCGCGGCACGTCGTTCGTGCTGCCGAGACTAATAGCGAATTCGATTGAACGCACTCAGCACGCACTGGTGCAATTAAGATATTATGGCGTACAAATTGATGTTAAGTTTATGTATTTAATATAAATATTGGAACGAGTTAATATAAATTTAATATAAATATAATTAAATTTAATGTATATTTATATTTATATATATATATTTTTTTTTTATTTAATAATGTAAGTATTATTTAATGTATAAATATAAAAACGTAAAATCCTCAATATATTTCAATGAAAATGTATAATGCCTTGTTGAACCAGCTATTGGTTGTAAAATGGATTTATTATTAAATGTTCGTACATTTTAATCCACACTTCGGATCCTTTCTAATATACAGTGCTATCTGAAGTTCGTTCGAATATCACTTTGACTAGGTTCACTAGGTCATTGATAATCATTACCAGGAAGTATAATGACCTAGTCAAAGCGATATTTAGGCGGATTTCAGATAGTACTGTATATTGGAAAAGAAGATGGAAGAAGTGGGTCGAAACATATGTGTATTTAATAATATAATAAATCAATTCCACACAACCAGTGACTAGCTCAATAAAGTATTATACATTTTCGTTGATTTATATCAACTTTAGCTTTACGTACTATTGCTTCCATACTCAATATATTTCATTGTATTGTAAGTAAAGTATATTATATTTTATATTATAATTCGAAATATTTGCATTTCACTTTTATTCTCAGAAAGTTAATCATGAAACTTTTTTTCCCTAAGATGGAAACGCGAAAAGTGAAAATTTTTTGTGTGTGACTATATATGCACACATACTTAAAAATTTTCAACTTTTTACGTTTTCTAGAGAAAAAGTTATGATCGATACATTAATAAGTATACAATTGACTTTAATATGTACCAGTATGGACTATAAGTGCGTTCAA